CAGCACTGTCCGCTCGCCGGCGCCGCGTGCGGGTGGGACCGGAAGCGATCGACGCTGTCGGCGCTCGGCTGGGGCGGCCCGAGCGCGGTTGTGCGCAGGCGCACGGCGCGCGCTCCCTTTCTGCCCCGCGCGGAGCCGCCATGGCGCCCGCGGTGAGTGAGCGCGGGACCGGCACCGGCCCCGACCGCCCCGAGCCTCCCCCGGCAGCCCCGGGGGCACCCCGCAACGCGCCCCGAGTTCCCGACACCCATCGCGGCCCTCCCCGTCTGTCCCGGCCCCGCCGTCTGCCCCCGCCCGCTCTCCTCCGCGTGGGGCCGGGCCCGGCCCGCGTCTTCCCGGGCTCCCAYGCGACGCCCGCGGCCCACGCGGATCGTGGAGGCGGGCGGCGGGCGAGCCCCGTCCCCACTGCAGTGTCCCTGAACTCGATCCGTGTCTGGGCCCTTCCTCGCGGCCAGCCCGGAGCTCGGCCCGGCCCCTCCCCGCCGCCCCTGACCGGTCCCGCACGGCGCTCCCCCTTTCTTTCACTCTCCCTCACTCTCTTTCCCCCTACAGCAGAAGAAGCCCGCGGCGAAAGGTGGCAAGAAGAAGAAGCAGGTGCTGAAGTTCACGCTGGACTGCACGCACCCCGTCGAGGATGGCATCATGGACGCTGCCAACTTCGTGAGTGCGGGGTGTTCCCGGGAGCCGTGACGGCCCCGCTGTCCCCGGGGCCCTAAGGACGGTGATGCTCCGTTCCCAGCGGCCCCGCACATACCCGGCTATCCCCCGGCCCTGCCCTGTGCCCCTGAGGCCGTCCCGTGGCCAGAGGAGCAGAGAGTGCCGGGGCTGGGGATGAGGCTGTGTTTGGGACACATGTGCTTAAAGCACGAGTGTTGTCCCTATCCGTGGACAGTTTTTTTGTCCGTATCTCCTGGCTGAGTTCCATCATGCCAGGGATGTAGCAAGGCAAATGGTGCTGCAGCCTGAGCCCATCCAAATCACATTAAGGATGGCTCTGGGTGAGGCTGGGGGGTGCTCAGAGGAGCCTGACCCYACTGTCCCCTTGGAGGGCAAGGAACATCCACCATGCCAATATTGTTCAGGCCTGAGCACATCACCCAGATGTGGCTTCAAAGGGGTGGATTAGCTTGGCCTGAGGAAGGAGCTCTCCCCTGCTTTCCTGGGCTATGGGGGCACTGCTTGTCTTCCCCAGCTCCAGAGACCACGGGGGGCTGTGTCTGTGTGGARCTGCAGCTCCAGCTCATGGCTGTGTTCCTCTTGCAGGAGCAGTTCCTGCAGGAACGGATCAARGTGAACGGCAAAGCGGGAAACCTGGGTGGGGGCGTGGTGACCATCGAGAGGAGCAAGAGCAAGATCACGGTCACGTCAGAGGTGCCGTTCTCCAAGAGGTGAGGTGGGGCAGGCCCGTGTCCTGCTGCTGTCAGGTGGTCAGTGTGGCCACAACGGGCCCTTGGCAGGGGATGAGTGCCTGTGGGCAGGAGAGGCTGGTAGAGCAATGATATCTCAGTGCAGGAGTTGTGCTGGGATTTGTGCTACCTGGCACTCGCTGAATGGCTGCTCTTTCCAAATGATTTATGAGAGAGGAATGTGGTCAGTGTTCCAACTGGGAAGGCTGCTGGTCTGGGCATTGTGGGGACCTGCAGCCAGAAGGTGCTGCATGGAGAATTTAGGGGTATCCACACCCAAGGTCTCCTGGATTAKTCCCCTCATCCTGTGTGGCTCTGGTCCTCTGCCCCTTTCTCCTGGCTGCATCAGCAAAATGTGGTTGTGCCGAGGTGTCCCAGATTGTTCCCCTCGTCCTGCGGGGCTCTGTCCCTCTGCTCTCTTCTCCTGGCTGCCTGTCCTTGGGAGAGGCATCGCCAAACCGGGGTTGTGCCACGGCAGAGGTGGCTCAGGAGCTGGCTGGGCGTGGASTGGTGGGAATGGCAGAGCTGTGTGGGTGCTGGGCGTGCCCTGCCCTGTGAGCACCTGCCTTTCTCCCARCGCTGTTGCTCCACGTCGGTGCTGCACCTGGGACATCCCAGCAGCGGGTATCCACCATCCCAGTGGAGATTCCTTGTGGAGTGGGGACAAGGCACTGGGGTTGCAGTCTTGGCAGAGTGGGAATGATCTCCCAGTTTTTGTGTCACGGCATTGTGGTGCAATCCCCCTGGTTGCACTGCTTTGTGGCAGAAGCTTTGCCAGTGGGATGTGTTGGTCCTGTTGGAGGTGGGAGCCCACAGCAATAAAGATTTATTAGCCAAAATGCTTCTTGAGGTGCTGGCAGGGGGCAGAGTGGCACCATTGTCAGCCGTGCTTTTTCCACAGGTATCTCAAGTACCTGACCAAGAAGTACCTGAAGAAGAACAACCTGCGGGACTGGCTGCGTGTGGTGGCCAACAGCAAGGAGAGCTACGAGCTGCGCTACTTCCAGATCAACCAGGATGAAGAGGAGGAGGAAGAGGAAGATTGAGCCCCGCCGCCGCTGACGGCCATTTTGTACAGTTTCGCTTTTCTGGAATAAACAGCGGCAGAGTTGTTCTTAACCCGTGCTCGGTGG